ATCATATTTTTAAATAAATAATTATATTTATGCTCTACTTTTGTATCGAGCACTGTTTTTTAAAAATAATAACTAAAATATTAAGGAACTTTGGATTATTTACCCAACCAGTTCTTTCTTATTTTCTATATATTTTCATATATATATATATATATATATATATATATATATATATATATATATATATATATATATATATATATATATATATATATATATATAATAATCGACTCTCCGTCGAGATTCGACGTATGAGGGTCAAGCAGATCCGTTCAGGAAACCGACAGCCCGACACCGGCACATGAGATTTGATTATAGTGGTGAAGGCCTCGTGCAGGACCATCCACACTTTTTGAAGGGACGAATACAAAGACCTGGTGCACTGAGTGCCACAAGGTCCACAAACGACCCTCCGCAGGTTTTGAATTCAGAGTTGTCCTTCTCCTAGACCTGTTGCCATCCAAGGCTATAGAACCCAGTCTATCCTACTATTTTACCCATATATATATTGTGTATTTAGATAGCATTCCTTCTTTCGTTCACATTTCATTGAATTCGTCGAGGTGCTTTAATTTAGTTCTTTTTTATTTACTTTTTTTATACAATTTCTCATGTGATCCAATAATTTTTCTTCTTTTCCGTACACAAATAATATAAAAACTGTCAAAATGTTGTTATTTTCCGAGCGCTTTCGGCTATACATTTAACCATTTTCAAGGTTGAAATATATTAACTGTTGACAAGAATTGAAAATGAAAACATTATATAAATAGATACATGCAAACAAACTAATTCTTGTTTTCAAGATGTACTTGGCGATTGCCATGTGCTTGAAAGTCAGAATTGCTCAAAATGGTAAAGAACAAATATATATTACCAATGGAAACAGAGAGAAAAGATGCAGAATATTAAGAACTTTTATTAAAGGCAAGAAGATGTCTTTAACGCATTAAGTATGATTACTCAAAATCCTCAACATTTATTCACTTGTATATCATTGCTTGACACAGCTAATGCTCGTGGAGGGTGGTTAAGGGTGAAAAGAAGACGTGGCGCTTGGACCGCAGTTCTGTGTGTATTCGCATACATGGAGGATTATCACAACGGAAGTGAGTGAGTAGCGGCGTGGTACAGTTGGTATGACGGTTGCGTTGTATCGAAACGGGTTCGATTCTCGGTACTAGATGAGCACTGGTGATGAGTCCACAAAATAAGCGGAAACGGCCGTTCACTGCTTTCTGCATTCTGCTAAGGATTATTCTAGGCTCGATGAATTGATATATATATATATATATATATATATATATCGATTCTCCGTCGAGATTCGACGTATGAGGGTCAAGCAGATCAGTTTCCAGGAAACTAACAGACCGGCACATGAGATTCGATTATAGTGGTAAAGATTTCGTGCAGGACCATCCACTCTTTTTGAAGGGCCGAATACAGAGACCTGGTGCACTACGTGCCACAAGGTCCCCCGTCAGGTTTTGAATTCAGAGTTGCCCTTCTCCTAGAGGCTATAGAACCCAGTCTGTCCTGCTATTTAACCCATAGCTGGAGGGAGAAGAAGAGGATTCACACCTTTCCCAAGGGTATTAGCACGTAAGTGAATGTAATGGATTCAACCTGGATTCGAACTCGGCTCTGCTATTCCACAATCCAAGCCGATATCCACTACCCCTATATCTCTATCTCTATATCTATATCTATATCTCTCTATATATAATCTCTCTCTCTCTCTCTCTCTCTCTATATATATATATATATATATATATATATATATATATATTAATTGATTTAAAATATGGTTTTCCGCTACATGTTTCAAAAATGAAAGGTCCGAATTTAATTTTGTAATTATATATCTTACTGTTCTTTCTTTTTATATATATATATATATATATATATATATATATATATATATATATATATATACCTGATTGATTAAATTACAGGCATTATGTCTGCTGATTTAAACAACTACAACATATTTCTCTCATCCTTTAACATCGCTACAAGATAGGTTATTCGTGAGTATGAACGGATATTATTCAAAATTAGCAGACATAATGTCTGTAATTTATTTAATCAGATTAAAAGAGAATTTGCTGCCTCAACACACACACACACACACATATATATATATATATATATATATATATATATATATATATATATATATATATATATATATATGAACTCCCTCCGTGAACAAGAACCTACCAATCAAGGTTTCATGTAACGGATCTTCAGGGTTCTACTAGAGCCAGTAGTACCCTGACAATACGCTAGTTGAAACCTTAATAGGTAGGTTCTGGCTCACTGGGTTTTTAGATTTGCTCTACTTAGTGCATTGAGCACTTTTACGTTTTTATTAATTTTAATCTGTCGGTATTTTTGTCTTTTGACTAGACATTGCGGTCCTGATGGATTATTTTGAATTAACACGGATGACTTTAGTCTTTTCTTTTTTTTACTGATTTTTTCCTTGACATCAGTTTGTTCAAATATATTTTTATTTTTCAAACTGCTAGTTTATAGGTATTACAATAATACATAATAATAATAATTGTAAATATATATATATATATATATATATATATATATATATATGTGTGTGTGTGTGTGTGTGTGTGTGTGTGTGTGTGTGTGTGTGTATTTAATCTTATGTCCATCGTCTTTTCATGTTGAATTGAATATAGTCTAATGTTAATTATGTTTTATGAATATGTCCTGAAGATGGTCGACTAGACCGAAACGTCCGACGTTGACATTATATTAACATTAAAACAGCATAATTGCATATTAGGATTTTTGTTTGTTTTTTCCGTATATTTTTCTTCATACATATATATATATATATATATATATATATATATATATATATATATATATATATATATATATATAGTCTTTCTCTATTTCTTAGCTGAGTTATTTTAACTTATACACACACACACACACACACACACACACACACACACATATATATATATATATATATATGGTTCGTCTCTATTTCTTAGAGGTATTTTAACTTATTTACATTGTTCAGACTATC